CCCAAGGTCACCCAGCTGGCTTCATGCCTAAAGCGGGACTAGAACTCACATTCTCCTGGTTTCTAGCCTGGTGCTGATATGAAAAAAACTTTGATGCACCATTATCAAAAGATGAAGACTGGAATCATAGAGTTGTGTCTAACTTATGGCCTAAATATACTTTTAGATTCTTCTCACTGTGAATATCTTACAAATTGATTTGTTGTGCAGCAGTTAGAAAAGTTTGATGACTTTTTAGTAGGCTTATGGTCTTAGTTTATCAAGGAGGTTCTTTTTAATATGACGCATTCTTATACAATGCATTTGCAAAGTAAAGCTACAGCATTTGGGTTAACTTTCTGAAATTTTAAAACAGATTTTTCTTTTAATATCCCTCTGTCCATCACTGACATTTCTATATTTCCTCTGAAGAGGAGAGAAAATCTGAATAATGCCATGTGAAAGCAGCAGTGAGGTTTGAAAAATTGGATAAGGCTTTCTGGTGAACTGACTTTAATGCATCTTCTGTTTCTAGTCACATTTTTCTCTGCCACAGTTAATGAAAGTACTTTCAGGTGTATTTTTTTCTCCAAGTAGTAACTAGTGATGTCTGCAGTTAATCGCAGAGTTGGGTTCCTTCGGGGTATCTTGAGGATATATTCCATTAAGAGATGTTCTCATTAAAACAAAAACCTATAGTTAAGATTGCCTCTAAAATTATCCATTTTGTAAGTATTTTCCCACTCTTGACATTAGATAGATCCCATTGTACCCATCAAAATTTAACTGCTTTTTAACTCTAAAATAAGTACTGAATTGGGCCTGATGCATAGACAGGAGAGATTCTTCACGGTGGATGCTTTCAGGATTTGGAATTACTGCTAATTGTCCAGGCAGAAAAGTTGGTTCCTTCTAGGTTATCCTTCTGTCAACAGACAAATGTATGTTTATTTAGGTAGGCTTTTGGTGCAAGGACTGGGTTTGTTGCTGGTTAGGGTGGATGCTTTCTGTAAATGTGATATTAAACTAATATTTGATTATGCTTTTAATTAGTATTTCTCTTTATAATTTAAAACTGTTCTGAGTATCCTTCCTTGGAGGAAAGATAGGACATAATTTTTAATTGTTTTAAAAAATATCAAGCAAACACCGGCTTTTTTTGTTAGATAATATAATTAAAGGGGGGAAAAAACAGTTTGGGAGCAACCATAAATACATTTGGAATCTTAGGAACAGATACATAATTTTAAATATATATAATTCAGTATTTCTGCCCTGAAATACATTTCTAAGTTTCAGATAATGTATTAGGAATTGTTTTGTTGATACAGCTTAAAAAATAATTTCATTAAATAATGGCAGCTCTTAAGTACTGATATTTGCACTATTTAATAGCAGTATAAATTGTCAACTGAGAGCCTATGTTTTTCAGTCTGTGTGTGTGAATCCTATTTCATACAACTGTTTCATGTTTACATGCTGTTAACTATTACATGTGGGAGTAAATCTTTGAAGTTATGTATGCCAGGTCTAAACTATCTGTTCCAAGAAGAATGTGCCTCTAAACTTTTTGATTTTTTTCCATTTCTTAGTTTTAGGATCCCAGTGAAAGTAGATAATAGCATAGACATTATTATTGATAAGCTGAATGATGAGATTAAATGGGAGCACACCCACTTTAAGGGAGGAGTGAGTGGCTTCAGGTGGAATTTTTTGAAAGAAAGAAAAATGAAAATTGGTAACTTTAATAAATGATTAAAAGGAATTCTTTCTAATTCCTTTTTGAATACAAACAGTTGAAGCTTACTTGACATCTTCAGTCTGCTATGCTAAAGAGTGAGATGTTTATACAGGTAGTCTTTTTACATCCACTCGTTTAGTGACCATTCGAAGTTACGACAGCACTGAATGAGGGTACTTATGATGGGTTCTCATAGTTGCGGCCATTGCAGCGTCCCCATGGTTACATGATTGTGATTCAGGTGCTTGGTGATCGGCTTGCAATTATGATGTCACAGCAAACTGCAGTCACGTGATCACCATTTGTGACCTTCACTGCTGGCTTCCGACAAGCAAAGTCAATGGGGAAGCCAACAGAAGGTTGCAAATGGCAATCGCATGACAGTGGGATGCTGCAACAGCACAGGATTTGCCTAATGATGGCAACTGGGACTACCAGAACTGCTGTCGTGAGTCAGCATGATCATGTGATGTTGCACCTTATGACCACATCGCTTAGCAATGGAGTTCCTGGTCCCAATTACCGTCGGCAAGTGAGAACTACCTTTAGTTCATTTCTGCTTGCATTGTGTGGTGTTTGTGATATAGTAGTTCTACAGT